AACAGAAACACAGAGAGGTGGGGGAAGGGAAACAGAAGGAAGAAAGAAACAGACAGTGACAGAAAGAGAGGGAGGGAGAGGGAAACATAAACACACAGAGGGAAGGAGGGAGAGGGAGATACAAAGAAAGGAAGACAGGGAAAGGGAAACAGAGAGGGGGAGGGAGAAAGAAACAGAAAAAACAGTTGGGGAGGGAGGGGCCAGGGAGAGGGAAAAAGAGAAAGAGAGGGATAGAGGAAGAAAGAGGGAGAGATAGGGAGAAAGAAACAAACAGACAGAAGGAGGAAGAGAGGGAGAGGGAAACAGAAAAAGAGGGAGGGAGAGGTAGAAAGAAACAGAGAATGACAGAAAGAAAGGGAGGGAGAAAAAAAGAAACAAAGACAGAGGAGGGAGAAAGAAAAAAAACAGGGAGGGAGGGAGCGAGAAAGAAACAGAAAAACAGAGAGAAAGGTAGGTAGAGAGAAACAGAGACACAGAGAGAGAGAGAGAGAGAAGGAGGGAAGGAGAGGGAGAAAGAAACAGATGGAGAATGAGATGGGAAAAAGAAAGAGAGAGATAGAGAGAGAGAGAGGGAGATGGAAACAGAAATAGGGAGATGGAGAGAGAGGAAAACAGGAAGAGAGAGAGAGAGAAAGGGAGAGGGAAACAGAAACACAAAGAGGGAGGGAGGGAGAAAGAAAGAGAGGAAAGCAGAGAAAGGGAAACAGAAACAAGGAGCAAGAGGGAGGGAGGGAGAAAGAAAGAGAAACACAGATAGAGAGGGAGAAGGGAGGGGCAAGGGAGAGGAAAACAGAGAGAGAGAGGGAGGAAGAGGAAGAAAGAAATAGAGGGAGAGAGAGGAAGAAAGAAACAGAGACAGAAGGAGGAAGGAAGGGGAGGGAGAAGGGAACAGAAACACAGAGAGAGAGTGAGAGGCAGAAAGAAACAGAGAGAGGGAGAGGGAGAAAGAAACAAAGACAGAGGGATGGAGGGAAAGGGAAAGAGAAAGTGAGAGGGAGGGAGGGAGGGAGGGAGGGAGAAAGAAACAGAAACACAGATAGAGAGGGAGGGAGGGGCGAGGGAGAGGGGAAACAGAAAGAGAAAGGAAGAGGAAGAAAGAAACAGATACAAAGGGAGAGAGAGGAAGAGGGAGACAGAAACAGAGAGAGGGAGAGGCAGAAAGAAACAGACAGAGGGAGGAAACAGAGAGAGAAAGAGATGGAAACAGAAACAGAGAGAGGGAGGGAGAAAGAAACACCGAGAAAAAGAAGGAGAGGGAGAAAGAAAGAGAGAAATAGAGGGAGGGAAGGAGAAGGAAACAGAAATAGAGAAAGAGGAAGGGGAGGAAGGCAGAGAGAAACAGAAACAGAGAGAGAAAGAGAGAAAGGGAGAAGGAAACAACCACACAGAGAGTAGAGAAAGGGAGAGTGAGAGTAAGAAAAGGGGAGGAAGGCAGAGAGAAACAGAAACAGAGAGAGAAAGAGAGAAAGGGAGAAGGAAACAACCACACAGAGAGTGAGAGGGAGGTAGAGGGAGAAAGAAACAGAGGGAGAGTGAGAGGTAAGAAAGAAAGTGAGAGATAGAAAGAGGGAGGGAGTGGAAAACAGAAACAGAGAGTTAGTTAAGGAGGGGGAGAGGGAAACAAACAGAGAGTTTGGTAAGGGAGGGGGAGAGGGAAACAGAAACAGAGAGTTAGGTAAGGGTGGGGGAAGGGAAACAGAAGCAGAGAGTTAGGTAAGGGTGGGGGAAGGGAAACAGAAACAGAGGGAGAGTGAAGGGAGGGGGAGAGGGAAACAGAAACAGAGGGAGAGTGAAGGGAGGGGGAGAGGGAAACAGAAACAGAGAGTTAGGTAAGGGTGGGGGAGAGGGAAACAGAAACAGAGAGTTAGGTAAGGGTGGGGGAAGGGAAACAGAAACAGAGAGTTAGGTAAGGGAGGGGGAGAGGGAAACAGAAACAGAGAGTTAGGTAAGGGTGGGGGAAGGGAAACAGAAGCAGAGAGTTTTTTAAGGGTGAGGGAAGGGAAACAGAAACAGAGGGAGAGTGAAGGGAGGGGGAGAGGGAAACAGAAACAGAGAGTTAGGTAAGGGTGGGGGAAGGGAAACAGAAACAGAGAGTTAGGTAAGGGAGGGGGAGAGGGAAACAGAAACAGAGAGTTAGGTAAGGGTGGGGAAAGGGAAACAGAAACAGAGAGTTAGGTAAGGGTGGGGGAAGGGAAACAGAAACAGGTAGGAAGGGAGGGAGAGGAAGAAAGAAACAGACAGTGACAGAAAGAGAGGGAGGGAGAGGGCTAAATGGCACCAGTGGAACTGGAGAAGAAATTCAAAATAAGTTTTTTTCAAGATGGCGGCCTTCATGAATTTCAGATAAAACCGAAAAATAACAACATTAAGTAAGGGCCATCTCATTATCATTTCATGTATACTGGTCATCATGAACCTTTGGGTCTGTACTAAGAAATCATGACATCAACACTTATAATTATTATTTCTAAGGTTTTAAAACTGAAATAATAATTCTTACCCGCACAATCCACAAAACGTGTAGAATATATCACTTGAGATTGAATTCCCTGTAAAGAGACAACATAGTTTAACCAAATTGAATGAAATATATCACATACATGTATTATGTTCTTATATAACCTTAATGCTATGTTTGCCCATGGTAGTGTGGTCAGTGTTAAAATATTAAAATCACCAAAAAACTTGATCTATTACAATAATTAATGAATGCGTATGATTAATTCAACACAGAAATTCAAATTTAGAAATAAAAAAGTTTTGTTTTATTTTTAATGAGTCCGTTCATGTTTTTACATACCTGACTTAGAATTCACCAATACATTTCCTGGGGATATTGGTATATAAGTAGGAGTAGGTATGTTCTCAGATGTTACTTTGCCTGTTGTGGATGAAGACTGGTTTGGGGCTAAATAAACGGGAAAACAACATATACAGTACTGCCAATACTTTATAGCACAACATTTTGATTGATAAAAGTTGAGTTATTGGACATATCACCAACTCAGGTTTTGCTTCCTGATCGAGACAAAATGAAAAATAACAAAGGGCAATAACTCCTATATGATGCAAAAAAGAGTTATGATTCTTGAGCACTGCACATCTCCTTGTTGTGATCTACCTACATATAAAGTTTCATGTTGATACCTCTTATAGTTTTTGTGTTATGCTCCAGACAAAATTATGACAGACAGATGGACGCACAAAGCGGTGATTATATGCTAAGAATGTGACGACCAAGGGTTATGACTTGCATGATCAGTGTTTTTCTTCCGTGTCTTCTCATAAGGAGCAATTGATCAGCGTTTCCTCCACCTCCACACTCTAGACATGTATATTTTCATTTTTTCCTATCTACACTACTTTCCTGTGGTTTATTTTTCACCCTTGTTGTCCCCCTTGACACTCAACCTCATATGACCTTGGTTATTGTTTTACATTTCATAAACACAAAAACAAATTGTTGTTTGTAAGTGGATGTCTTACTGAACACTGAGATACATGGACAGTCTCACCATGAATATAATCACCAGCCTATCAGAAAGTCAGATATAAGGATGAATAAGATAGTTTTAATCTTTTTAGATACTACAAGCTGCAATAATATCGGCATATAGATTTTGTTCAAAAGACATGAACATAAATTGCAACTTTTACAAGAGACACTGAACCCCCCCCCCCCAATTCTCCCTCACCCCTCCCACTAGTCTGCAGTGACCACAACTCATTCGATATCAATTTCATATTGAAAAAAGAAAGATGAGGGTTTGCTATGCAGCGATATTGTTTGAAAGAATACCCCGATGGATCTGCAGGGGTGAAACTGCTATTTAAATACCATCAATAAAAAGACTATAGAACTCTATAGGTCTTGTTTTACAGCACTTGGTACTAAGTTGGATTGACTGAGATTTAAATGACGGAAGTCTTCATTGAAGCAAAAGAAGCTTACCCTTCTGGAATACCTGATCCAATTTTCCATGTACTTTGTGTAAACCTTTCCTTTATTCACATTTATCTCCTGTTTCATCAACATTGAGAATGACTGAAAATCTTAGACTTACTTTGCGTTGTACTTTCAGGGCCGTTCGTAACAATGGTGCCACAACTTCTGTCCGTTGTTGAATTACCAGTAAATAAGACATGTTCTGTTTTGTTGCAACTGAAATAAATCATAAAAATGATCAGCAAAATCCCTTTACATTATGGAAGGATTCACAAAATATGTTTCCACTATTGCCTGCTATGTCCAGAGACTTTTGAGTACCAAATACAACATAATTGATTTGCATGTTTGTTAGTTCCATTGATTTTGAGCTGTGACAAAATGAATATTGAGATTTATTGAACTGTATCTATCATTGAAATCAAGTGTTCGGAAAATCCATGAAAAATTGAGCAAAACGAAAATATCTTATTTTACAGTTAACATATATTTCAAAGATTTAAGAGTGTTGAAAAAGTTATCAAATATATACACTGTCCATTCTGTACACCATTGACATCCTTCAACAGCTTTAAAACTTCCTGGTCTGCATGCAGTGCAAATAGTCTCTGAAACACAACATAACCTTTAAGCAAATGATAATTACATATGCATAGTTGAAAAATTCATTCGTTAAAACCATCATCATTTTCACATGAACATTATTTTCAAATGAGATGTGACTTTCTTACTTTTTTTTATTTTCCTAAGTTTCCTAATTTAATCACCTAGCATCATTGAAGAAGACTAGAAGGACGGAACAGCTGTATAATGCAGTTTACTCGACCTTGTGCTCACAGGGATATGTATACACCTACTCATACAAAACACCTTGACCTAATTTCCCTTTACTTCAGGTGTCTCAATGTAAATCTGTCTGTTGTTCCTATTTTGCCAAAGTTCGTGTCTTGTGTTTGAATTATGGTCCAGTTAACATGTCAGTATTTTCTTAGTTTCATTTTAATGAGAGAATGATTACTCTTGTTAAGGAATCCATGGTAAAGCCCTTGGGTTGTGCATGATGACATCGCTGTATGGGAAGTGCTCAAAGATTTATACCTCATTTTGTTGCTATGATATCAGAGGTTGAAATAATAGACTAACATCAAACTTAATTCATTTTCTAACATTTGTGAAACAAGTCATTCCAGTTTATACTCATTACTCTAACCGACCTGATGCAAAGGCAAGAGGTCCTACTGTGGAAAGTTCACAGGGAAGTCTCACGGGGGCAGACAGGCCACCCAGCTTTGTATGTTAAACTTCATTTAAATCTATGTAACCAAGTTTACTCCAGAACAGCACAATATAGATTGACAGAGATAAACCCATATAATGACATAATTAATGATTATTAAATTCAAAATCTGACTTTGTGATATTTTTAGTAGAAAAGATTTGTTATCTACATCTGCACGTGATCTTGCAAATCTTGTTGTCTGCTACAAAATGACAAGCACTTGTTTTTTAAATTTCAACAAAACCAAAAGGAAAATTTCGAAAACAAGACCAAGATCACATACAAAGTGAATCCGGGGGAAGGGTCAAAACACACACCGTGACAATTAAAAAATGTCTGCTGCCCAGTTCGAAGCTACTGTAGAACTCAGTTTTAGGAGAATTTTACATTATTTCTAAAATATATTGACAAAATCAATTACAGTCAAACTTCGATGTTTCTAAGTTCAAGGGACTACCAAAAAAAACTTGATGCATCGAGACTTTGAATCGTGGGTTATAGAGGGTTATATTGACGTTTTCATGTTCATGGCTATACATAGTCGATAACATGATATTTCTACCTAAACAAACACAACAAATACCAAAACACAAGATGAAATAACAAGAGGCCCAAGGGGCCTTAACGGTCACCTGAGGAATATATGTCAATAACCTGGGGATTTTAAAATGTTGCAAAAATGTAACAACTCTTGTGCAGGACCAAGTGTAAAGCATCTGTGTCAAGTTTGAACATGACCCATCCAATGGTTCTTAAGAGGAAGTCCATAATGTCTTAGCCAAATAGAGGCCAGGGTGGCCGTCTTGGATTTTGAAAAACACTTTCCAGCTAGGACCTTGTGTAGAACATTCGTATCAAGTTTCCCCTTTTTCCCCCTTCTGCAGCCCCTATTGAGGCCACGCCCTTTTTCTTCGCAAACTTGAAGCGACTTCCCATGGGGATGCTTTGTGCCAAGTTTGGTCAAAATCCATCCAATTGTTCTTGAGAAGTAGTCATTTAATGAAGGTTTTTACATATGGCCCCTTTTACACCCCTTATGGGCCCCAAAGGGGACATTATCACTTTTTTCAACATAATTTCAGATGTCCTTCACTAAGGGATGCTGTCTGCCAAATTTGGTTGAAATCGGTCAAAGTTGAATTTTCTACCCTTTTGAGCGCCCCCTAGTGGGGCCGTTTTTGATCCGATTTTTTTTTCATTCCCAAACTTTGTAGACCTTGCCATAAGGACCCTAAATATCAAATATGAACTTAATCTGACTGTTGGTTCATGAGAAGAAGATTTTTAAAGGTTTACCTAATTTTACCCCCTTTTTCCCTCTCCTGGGGCCCCTATTAGGGCCATGCCCTTTTTCTTCGCAAACTTGAAGCAGTTTCCCATGGGGATGCTTTGTGCCAAGTTTGGTCAAAATTCTTTCAGTGGTTCTTGAGAAGAAGTCGAATATGAGAAAAGTTAACGACACACGACGCCAGACAAATCATGATGGCAATAGGTCACCATGAGCCTTCGGCTCAGGCGACCTAAAAAGATACATTTTTCTGTTGAAACAAAACATTTTCCATTGTGGAAAAAACCACAAACTTATGAAGAAACTAACGAGAAATCGATCCCTCATTTCACACAGTATAAGCATTTTACTGGTGGATTTTCCATGAAACAACATGCAGTATTAAAGTGGTCTTCACATGTTACAGTAATCGTTTTAAGACTGATACATACACATTATAGGCACTAATGAACTTAACAGAAAGCAAATAAAAATCATAATGTATTTTGTCCAGAAACAACAGCACTAACATCACACATCTTCAGTCGTAGAAATTACAAGAGTGTTTGCCGATGTTCTGATGACGGCTAGCCTAAACAATCGGAGAACACATGATTGATGGATAAATCACTGTTTCCTATGCTTTAAAATTAGAAAGTGACACTTTGGGAATTTGTAAAATCATCACACAAATGACAGGATTTCCTCCAGTTGTTTTCATAATTCTGTAAATTAGACCTAATTACCGTAATGGTGAACATCACACAATGACCAATTATCTTTGATTAAATATCATGGCTTGTAAAGCATTTACATCTGTGTCTGCAGTCATTAATTAACCTCGTAGCACAGAGCTAATGATTGCAGGCTATCATAATATCATTGGCAGGTGGCACTCTTCCTTGAAATGAGTGAAATATTGCCACGTGGCAAAAATACCTGTACAGTGCAGGTAAATGTTTTGGTTCGAATCATGAGATATCTATGACTACATCATTATATGAGAACTTCAAATAGTTCAATTCATTAAACTTAATTCAGAAGGGGTTATGTTAGTAGTAATATAAAGCAATGAAAAGTTTGATTCATAGAAGATTAACTGTATTATAACTTCATCATTTTATATGTGTTTTATAGTTGTATTTTGCCTGAGTAATATTGTTTGATTTATATCTATATTTTCTAACACTACCCACTAGACTTGCTCAAGTTCCAGTTACTGCAGACTTGCGTTGGTTCGAAATGTTAAAAACAAACCTTCTCCACTGAAATATATCTTTTATGTTAATTTTTACTTACATTGTTTATGTTGTGGAATGCGAGAAACTGATTATATTAATAGAGTATGGAAAAGCTAGTTGATATGAATAGTTAGAAATATTATTTCTGTATAAAAACAACACTTACCTTTACCATTTGGCTCCATTCCTTTATCACAATGTATACTAAGGAGGGAGCAATCTTCCACATCCACTATCACTCCTGGTGGAGTCCTCCTGCTGTAACATCTGATGCGATCACAAATGCATCTATTTGCCAACGGGTCGAAGGTCACCTTCTCTGTGTTGTACAGGAAATTTCTTTTCAGTACACATATCATCGTTGTCATAATACATTAAATAACCTTACTTACATTATGATTCTTTGTAAGTAATGGAAAATTTTACTATATCACCATTTTAATTTTCAATCTGATGATACGACATAATGCAAATAACATCATATCACAAATGACATATTACAAATTAGGTATGGGGTGGGGAAATTTAGGGTGGGGCAGGGGGGGTTCACTTCACCATGGCTGTGGTATGTGTTTATATGATTAAATCATGGTGATGAGACAAAAATTGGCAAAAGTTAATTAGTAAGAAACTAAGAAATTAGTTAGATATTCCGATCTCACTCAGTTACTGGTAACAGATTTTACTAATCTCACACTCGAAGTGGCGTGCCATTGGAAAGAAGAGTGTGCCTCCACCAGCGATCGAAGCCATGGCCCCTGGCATATTGATCTGCCATTCTATTGTTCAAACTAAGAATACATTTTCTCTAACGTGAAGATAAAGGGCGAAGATATCTATATACCATTAAAACCAACCATTATTAAAATTATTTTTTCAGAATATGCAAACGTGTCCTCTATTTACTTACAAGGTTATACATCATTCCAATGGTTTTACCTGCCTTATACCTCAATTTGTCTTACAACAGAATAGTGGTTACAGCACCTGCTTTCATTGTCCCTCATGCAAAGATACAATCAATTTGGTTTATTGTTGGTTTCTACCAACAGCCAGGGTTCATTTCAGGATGTGCCAGGTCTTGCTGGTAGAGGAAAGCTGGAAATACATCGCCTTCTACCCAGTACCTAGCTACTGCCCCATGTAGGTCTCGAACCCATGACCCCAGAGAGGAGGGCGAGTGATTTTCTAGTGCCTAAGCCTCTCTGCCACAATGAGACACATATATAACCAAATATACATAAAGTAACTTCAAAGAGAAGGAGCCAACGTCAGGTATGGGTAAGTGGGTATTAGGTGGGTACTTCGCTGTGAGTATGGATACCAGAGGGTATGCAGGGCGATTAAACAAAAACTAAGAAGTATGTATGAAGAGGGTATTAATCACAACATACTCTGCGACAGAGGCGAAACTAGTCGACGAATAAAGTCAACACTCTCTTATTGGTAACGCGTGAGTATGTTGTGATTAATACCCTCTTCATACAAATATACATAATATACAGAAAATATGTTACATGTATTCCCATTATTTACACTTACCTGAAATCCGTTTGCATTCTGCATCAGATCTGTATGCATAAGTTGTCTTGTGAAACTGAAATAGAACAAAAATTGGACAGAATGTAAATATGAATACAAAAACACATTGCATCCTCCTTAATATGTGTACAACTGTTTTTATAAATGTCATTAATTCACATGAATTAAAGCAAAAATGTCATTCCTACAAAGTCACCCTCTTCGCACATCCCATCTTCACTCACTTAGCATGTCACATTGTCACATTTGTCATAAAGACATCACATAAAACACAAGCCATGCTTTACAGAAATCTCATCATGATAACTTTTGGTTCCATTGTTGTATACCTTGTTCTCATTTAAGAATGGTACATTTCTTACTTGGATTGACCAAGGTTTACATGGCAGGTGTCATGGATGAAGCAGAAGATGCTTACTCTTTTGGAACACCTGATCTTATTCTCCTGGTACTTTTTCAGGAATCTATGTGTAAATGTTTCTTTTATCGATGTTTTGTCCTTGTTTTATTGAATTTGAGTTTAAACTATGCTTACATCTTGACGTGCTGGTATGTTCTTGTTTTTCATGACATATAAATGTGCTTTAAACAATGACTAATTAGGGCCTTTAAGATACACGTTATGTAAGTGGACCAATATTACATTTAACTTCTGTTACTGATTGTGAAAATTATACTTTAACAATAATTTTAATATGACAACAGCTTCCAACTCTTGGTTTCTATTTTAACCTTTAAACACCAATTGATGATCATTAATAAGTTTCAGCTTGAGATCATGAAACAAATCTGATATTTTTTCATTTTGTCAAGCTTCGGACTCACATGAAATGGAATGGCTGCAAGATTCCACTTATCACATTGAAATAAATATTTTTGCAAGCATTTGGAAAATATAAACTGCCAATATTATTTCAAACTTCATTGATGTCATATTGTAGGAGACACAATGGAGTTATGACGTGTGACAATCTATGTGTTTATCCAAACATAGCTCTGGAAGGTGTTTTATACGTGTGGACATGATGAAATATGTAAAACGTTATTACACAGGGTCAATATGTATAAACACAGGATCTGAAACAGGTATTCATTTCAAATGGCAGTTTATTGAATGTAAGAAATGTGAACACACTTAAGATTTTTTTTTATCACATAATTTCAAAAAATAACATTTTGTCAAGTTTAAATCAATACGTGGAGTGTAAAATCAAACATAGGCAGCCATTTTGTTGCACCATTTTCAATTCATGGTGTCTGTATTATGACCTTACAATCGATTTCTGGTGCAGCCAATGAAAAACGTTCAAGGATACATTACATGAGTGACACATGCAAAATATATTATATCTACTTACGTCACAGCAGATGACCATACACAATAAACTGAGTCTTCTAATCTTGTCCATCTCTGAAATGTCAACAAAAGATTTTTTCACTTCAGTGACATATTACAGACAACAGAATGTATACAGAAGCCTGAAGCTTATGTTTACCCAATTTGTTCTGCTACACACCAGCAAACTTAACAGTAATTAAAAAAGCATCCACTACATGCATGAACTGATTCTTCTGTCTTTTTCTTAGAAATATTTTCCAGTACTTTTAATTAGAAGTAATATCTTTTCATTGTTTTTATTTAAGGCGTATTGAAAATATATGTTAAAATTATCATATTTTTATCATCACTTTTAGTAACGTAGTCTTTATTTGAAAATGTTACATTAAAGGTATTTTTCATTGTGAAAATGAATAACAACACAAAACATGCTATTATCACTTATAATGGGCAATATATGAACCAGATTTCTGTGTGGCTAAATAAAGTCCATATCTCTATAAATGGACAGGGGTATCTCCATTTGCCAAAAATAAACGTAACTAAATATAACTTCTATCTACTGTTGCTATAACTTCATTGATTACATCCATGTGAAGCTAACAATGTTACCTCCTATCAAAACATTTAAAAATATAAATGTATGATGATTATTTCAATACATTTATTTTAAACATTTTTTTGATTCAATAATCAACGCTATAACACATAATATAACAAGTAATGGATATGAAAACAAACTTAAGAGCTTATTTAAGATTCAATCTCAAACATTATATTGATGATCAGTTTTTAAAAATGTCAAATATGCCAAATTGAAAGAGGTTCTACAAATAACAAAATTGAAAATGTCAAAGTGAAACTTACGTGAAATTGATAACAGAAGTAATAATACTACTCTACTTCCTGCTAATTAATTAGTTTTCCTTTTCAATCAACTAATTGACATGAGAGTAATTAAGAATGTTAATGAGGCTGGAATGATATATACAAATCAGGTTAAATCCATGTGTTGAAATATTGCTTCCCCGCTTCACATCTCATATCATTTATAGTTAACATTGATATGTAACATGTTCACTTCCATGTAAATAAATAAGTGTACCTTAGTACATATTGTACAAAAAAATCGATACATTAAAACAATACTTACGTAATATCTGTATATGACAATACCAAATACACAAATATACACGATACACCATACACGATATGGCTATTTATATCGTAGATGCAATTGCCTTGCTAGTCTCGGTCAACCAGACACTTGCTTTCATTACACTCTTCGCCAGAGTGATCTTCGTCAGAGTAACCTTGAATATGAATAGATTCAAGGAAGGCACATACTGTACTTCTGTACTTGTGTGTTAAACAGATGCTAACTTAGTAGCTGTGTAAATCCTAGCAGTATGCCACAAATTCTCAGTGACATACAAACTGTTACATGTTACTAATTATACTTACCAACAATAAAATGGTCACTGCAAACCCAGGCCCCGTCGTCACCAGGTTTCCAGTATTTGGATCTATTCTGTTAACAGCTTTCAACCATTTCGATCTACTAATAACATCTTTTGGAATGCGATTGAACTTCAAATTTTCTTGTTTATCGGTGTCTCTATTAGTACAACCTAAAACTACGCATTCCTTCCCCATTGCGATATACCCGCCTGTTTGAATAACAATGGTCGCCTAATGACTTGACACTGTTTTTAGTAACAGGAAATACGGGGAAGTGGCGTCAGGTCAAAACCTCTTATTTTTAGCATGTCAGAGATTTAATCTTGTTAATAAAGCAAATTTACTTGAACTGCAACGTACATGTAATGATGATATTAACTTTGGGTAACATTAACTGCCATCACATGTTATTTAGTTTCTAACTACTTCAAATTTAAACAAATTAGAGCCAAAAATGTATTTTTCTGTATAACGATGGTAAACTTTACCCCTTTCTCAGGGGAAATGTGAGACCCTGGGGTAATGAAATTTACAATTTTGGAAAAGCACCCTAAGGTTTTCGATCGACCAAGATTATTTGATTCTACCATATTTGGGCATTGAGAAGAAGTTTTTTGAAGTTTCGATCGATTTTACCATTTTCAGCCCCGCCCCTCCGGCCACTGAGGGAGTGTGGCCATACAATTAATAAAAAAAATGTGCAAATATGGCCACAGAAGGTTTCTGCAAAATTTCATGGAAATCGGTTGTGACGTTTTCCATGAGAAGTAAAAAAATGTTAATGGTTTACGACGCCAGACAAAAGACGATTGTAATATGTCATTGTGAGACTTTGTCTGCGGTGAACCAACAGTAAGTTGAACAAATATTTTAAATACTTTCGCGTGTTTATCGGAAAGATTACTTGGTGATAATGCTGAAAAGCAGGTACATTTCCTTTTGGTTATTTTATGTAACAAATGTTGTACTCTTCACTTTCATGTTCTCGACTTCTGTCTTAAAATAGTTCAGATAAAGAACCATTTTATCGCTCGACATGTTTTACGGTGTGTGATTAATGTACTGGTTATAAAAAGCAACACTAAGAGAGGAAAATCAACAAATATATCTATTATTAGTAACGGTGATTTCCCGTTTCAAACTATATTTAGTAACATTTTATAATTAAATCTTTGTAATGTCACGGACTTAAGCCCGTTACTAAATATACTAAACATTTTGTGTATATAAGTCCGTGGTAATGTATATAAATAAGTGATAATGTTTCGTCCTGCATTTCACAGTCGCAGAAAGAGGTGAAAAAACCCATAAAAAATGAAAATGAATGATAAAAATGGGAAACGATGTAATCTACTCGTATAGTAACTTAACAGGGAAGAATTTAGCGAGAGCACACGTGGAATGTATCGTATACTGTCGTGTTAAACTACCAGTGGCTTGTTGTGAACAACTGTATGTCTGTTCCGAAATACAAAATTATAGGCACCGTCACATGGTCCCTTTTTAGCACCGTTAAAATTTTAATTACCTAAATGTGTGTTGATTAAGGCAGACGGAACAAATTATCCTGTATTTGAGGACGTCTCGTCTAGTTATTACGTGGTCCCATCTCGATAATTTACTGTGCTGACGAGCCGTTCGAAAGAAAAGGACTCTTATAAAGACAGAAATCAACCGAAATCAATAGGAACTCAATATAAGTACATAATTATACTTTAAATTTGAATACAATAACACGAAATACTGGTAAGAATATTCGAATTAACATACCTGTCGAGCTGTCACCCAAACGCTGCTCTTCGATATCCCGTGACAAAATGGCTCATAGTATGATATAACCTTATGGGAGTGCCCACTTCCGTGGCCTGTTACAAAAATAAGTTGCCATGCCCATTTTTAATTGTTTGTGAATCATTTCTATCTCCTCACGAGTTACCCGTTATAGATCAAGGTATCTACATTGAATAACAAACAGTACTTTCTGTTATCAATGTCACGTGAAATTCGGCCCATAGCGGGATTCCCTGATCACAAAAATAGCACATCTGACATTAAAATAACTACATACTGATTTATGTACACGTGAGACCACGAACATTCAGTGAACATATAACTTTCCTTAACAGCACAGGCCGATTTATTTATCAGTTTCATAAGAAACTCTTGATTTCGCATTTTACAAATTCTAACTGTCTAAATTGTGATACAAGTACCACATCTAACATGGAGTATGGATAAATACAGACTATAACAACAATAATATCTCTATATTAACCTCCGTGAAGTTGATTCCCTATTCCTTATTCCTCATTCCATTACTTATTCGACGTAGCAGTTTATTACTTATTCCTTATTCAATTACCAATTCGACACTTTCATTCCTAATTCAATACCTATCATTTATTCATGTCATCATTATGTAATAACACTATAAATGCTTCTGAATAATTATCAAACGTGCCCATTCTATTGTTCCTCCTTTCTATTATGTATTCAGTTCCTTTTCGTTATTCCTCCCCTCATTATTTATAGACAATAAAGATCATTTTAAATGAATGCAAAAATGTTTTAATTCCTTTCTTCGACATATACAACACATGTAGAATGCTGATTACTTATTCGATTTCCTCGTTACTTAGGATTTTCCTAACGTTAATTTGTACCCTAACCCATACCCCCTAACTGACGAATCCCGGTAAGTATATATTATTCGGATCTAACGGGTCAGATAAAAAAAACTGAGTATAGCAATATCTGCATGTATCGTAGGAGAAACATTTGGAGTACATTTTTTCTTACCTTTACTTTGATTTTTGTTACGAATTTAATTCATGTAAATGAACTGGATTTCTATATGTGTTGTTTTTATATCTTAACGATGACAATGGTACCTAAATTGTGTATGTTGAGTTAAAAATGTGTTATGATCTGACATTTTGTATTTTAATATGAATGAGTTAGGGAATTTACGAGAGAGGCCATAATGTATATGTTCACAATGGTGTTTATGTTTGTCTCTTTTCCTACAAAATGCTACAATTTGATTGGTTTTTCTTTTTATGCCTCTATGATTTGTGCCATTTCTTTATTTCGCCACGAAAAAACGACAAAAGTAGAGTGAAAAAAAACGAAATTAAAATTGGCAAATTAGCGACCTAGAACTTTCGTTCTTTCCACCTACAAATGTCGTGAGAACGACTTCAAATCTTCTTTAAATTGGTGCACCCGAGTGGAGGGGAAAAACAACAATATTTTTTCTACATACCGGACAATACAGAAGGACATTACTCATTAAAACATTTCATAATTCAATTATATATTTGCCAATCATCTTGCAGCCATTTTGTATGGACCGTATTCACATGACCTGACGAGATTTTCTAAAGTTTCCATTTAATCTTCCATCATGTTTTTTGTAGCTAAATGGCTGCGACATGATAGAAACATAGACTAATAGGATTATTAGGAATACTTATAATTGATTAACGTTTTCATCTATATTGTCAGTAATGCCAGTCGGTAAATAAACTTTGGATTAAAGTCAAAATAAACGTACAAGATACAGCAAACTGATATATTAAAATAAAAGAAAATAAGAAAATTATTCATTGTAAAGGATTCGAGCAGGAAGTGAACATTGATTTCGACATATAAAACTCCAATAAGTAATAGAAATAACAAATGATTTGTTTTAATCAAGTATGGACAGGAAAGTGGACAAAGGGTAAAGAGTAAGAAAAGTGAGAATTCAATTCAGTAATACCAGTTTCAGAATAAAAAATGAAAGTATGAATAAGTTATGGATATAATAATTGATACGTATTTCACCGTTCATTTGAACAATAGATTCTAAAGAAATATCAGATTCTAATACATAATGAGTACAGTATCTCCGATAAACAGGTCGAAAATAGAATGAAATCGTCTCATTCTTCATTTAAAACTATCTACATTATTTATAAATGATAATAAATCCAATAAGTAATGAGAAAATCGAATAAGTAATGAAGGATTGGAATAAGTAATGAGCACTTTACATGTGTCGTATTGGTCGAAAATTGAATTAAAACGTTTATTCATTCATTTAAAACTATTTTTTATTGTTTATAAGTAATGGGAATATCGAATAACAAATAAGGGAATGGATTAAGAAAAGTGTACTGAATATGTACACTGTAATAGAAAAGAGGAATAATAGAATGAGCACGTTTAATAATTATTTAGAAACATTTATTGTGTTATTTCATAATTTTTAAATGAATAAATAATAGGTATTGAATTGGGAATGAAAATTTCGAATAGGTAATTGAATAAGGAATAAGGAATAAGTAATCAACTGCACCGTCGAATAAGTAATGGAATAAGGAATAGGGAATAGGGAGTCAACTTCACGGACGTCTATATTACGCATGATTCACTAGCCATGAATAACAGTAATTGAATATAGAAGAGGATATTTAAGTAATCAAAGATAGACAGAGAGAAGGGGAGCCGAAATAAGCCTAGTGTTTATGTTCAATTTCAATTTCTTTCATTTCGGAAGACTTACGACTTACAAGATTTAACAATGTTCACGGAATATTATAATGTTGAAGTGATGTCTATTCGTTCTCACATGCTCTTATTCCTACAGTCTAGACTATGAGTGCTCTTTCACTCAGACACATACTTACTCAGATACATTAACACACGTAACAAATCACACACACACACTCACTTGTATTTGTTGATATATCTGTGTTGTATTTGCCAGCTTTTACATGTGTTTTTTGTGTACAGGATCTTACATATTGACAGGTAACGTGTGGCTGTTAATAAAAAAGACTGCTAAATCTTCCGAAATAAATCTATTCAGGTGTTTCCTTCTCATTTCTTATAATAACATACATGTTTAATTTTTTTTTATTTTAAAACATTTATAAAAGTGAATGGTTAAACATTATTAAATAACGAGCAAATATTTATCCATAATATCTTTTCCCTATTTCAATGTTTACGATAACTTGTTCGGTTTGTATGCCTTGTTTTTTTATATGCGTGATATTTTTTTTCAAACATGTCCTGTCTGTCCCCTATGACCCTGGAAGTTGTCAATCATTTTTCACGTCGAAACCGCTTTGTGGAGTGACTGGTGTTGGTTAAGGACACTAAATCATGATAATGTGTATGATGATCCGTTTGGGAGAGATGGCCTA